TGAGGAAGGGTCACCGGACCCGAAACGTTAACTCTATTTTCTCCTTCACAGATGCTGCCAGACCTGCTGAGCTTTTCCAGCAACTTTGTTTTTGTTCCTGATTTACAGCATCCGCAGTTCTTTTGGTTTTTATTTCAATACCAAGTCTCTCTTGTAGTGAAATAAAACAAAGAACTGGATATCTGAAACAAAATCAGAAACTGCTGGAGAAACTCAGCAGGTCTGGCAGCATTTGTGGAGGGGAAAAATAGTTAATATTTTCAGTCCAGTGACTCTTTGCCAGAACTGAATGCAGCTAGGAAATGGTGGTATTTATTGAGGACAGGATGGGGGAGCAGCAAGAATGAGAGCAAGAGAGAGCAAGGGAGAGAGCAATAGTGAATTATTGTGAAAGTATGAATTGTTGAAAGTGTTGGTTGCACTGAAATGAACTCATACAGAACAGGATGGGGCTGGGAAGGGAAACAGTGTCGGGAGTTAGGTGATGAACATGGTGGAAGATGCTGACATTCTGAATTTGTTAAACTCAATGTTGAATCCTGAGGCTTGTAAGGTATGTAAGCATAAGATGAAGTGTTGTTCCTCCAGTGTGCATTGAGCTTCGCTGAAGCATTGCAGCAGGCCTCAGACAAAAATGTTGGCAAGGAAACATGGTGGTTCACTGAAGTGGCAGGCAATTGAAAGCTTGGGGTCATTTTTACAGGCACAGTGCAGGTACTCCACGAAGTGGACACCCAGTTTGTGTTTCGTCTCCCCAGTGTAGAATATACCACATTGTGAGCAGCGAACCGGTTAGCTTAGTTTGAGTGATACATCTCTGGCAAATCACTGCTTCACCTGGAATGTGTTTGGGGCAATGGATAGTGAAGAGGGAGGTGGTAATGGGCAATGGTTGCAGCTTTTGTGATTCAATGAGAAGGTGCTATGGAGGTGTGAGGTGGTATTGGGAGTGGACCAGGGTAGCCTGGAGGAAACAGTCCCTGGTAATGTTGACATGGGAGGGGATGGCAACATGTCTAGTGGTGGCATCCCCGCTGGAGTTGACGGAAACAGCAATTTATGATCCTTTGGACAGTGAGGCTGGTGACGTGGAAAGTGAGGACAATGTGTCCTTTCATTGTTGTGGGAGGGAAGGAAAGGGGTGAGGGTATTAGTGTGGGAAATGGGTCAGACACGGCTGAGTGCCCTTTCAACCATGGTGACAGGGAATCCTCAATTGAGGAAACTGTTTGATGTGTCTGAGATCCCTAAGCGGAAGATGTTATCATCAGAACAGCTGAATGGAGTCAGAGAAACTCTCCTATAGTGCCACTTGTGGAGGAGCAAGAAACGCTAGACAGGATATTACTGACTTCTGCAGTCACTGTGCAGTTTACACTTTAATTATTAAAAGTGATGTCAGCCTCACTATTACTTGTATTGTAAAATATGATCCATTATGATAAAAAAACTAACTCATTATGATCAGTTATGATTTTCATTTTCTTTTCACCTAAGCTAAGTTTTCAATCTTATAAAACCTCCATTATCAAATCTGCTTATTTCCGTTGCAATAATATCAACTGTTCCTACTTCACTTCAGATCATTCTGATGAAATTCTCACCCATGATTTTGTTCCCTCCAGGAAAACGATTCTTATGTCATCTGACTCACATCATTATAATCTTAATCTTCAGCTCAAGCAAAACTCTGCTACTCATATCCTAACCAAACAAAATCCCAGTGTCTTATTACCCTGAATTCACCAATGTAGATTGGTTCCCAGATCACCAAAACCTCAAATTTAAAAACTGTCATTGCGTTGAGTCATACAGCACAGAAACCGACCCTTCGGCCCATCCTGCCTATGCCAACCAAGTTTCCCAAACTAAACTTCTCCCACTTGCCTGCATTTGGCTCATATCTCTCGAAACCTTTTCAATTCATGTACCGGTCCAAATGTCTTTTCAATGTTGTAACTGTACCTGCATCTGCCACTCCCTCTGGCTGTTTATTCCACTTGCTATGTGAAAAAGTTGCCCCTCAGGTCCCTTTTAAATCTTTCTCCTCTCACATTAAAATTATGCTCCCTAGTTTTGATCTCCCCAACCCTAGGGAAATGACCTTTGTTATTCGCCTTATCTATGACCCACAGAATTTTAAAAACCTCTATAAGGTCACCCCTCAAACTCCTACACTCCTGGGGGAAAAAAAGTCCGAGCCTATCCAATCTTTCCTTATAACTCAAACCCTCCAGTGCCAGCAACATTCTCGTAAATCTTTTCTGAACCCTCTCCATTTTACTAATGTCCTACCTATAACAGGGTGCCCAGAACTGGACACAGTACTTCAAAAGTGGCCTCACCAACATCCTATACTAGCTCAACATGACATCCCAACTCCAACACTCAATAGTCTGAGCAGTGAAGACAAGTGTGCTAAACACCTTCTTGACCACTTGTGGCGCAACTTTCAAAGAACTATGCACCTGAGCTCCTAGGTCCTTCTGTTCGACAACACTACCCACAGTCCTACCATAACTGTATAAGTCCTGCCCTTGCTCGCTTTATCAAAATGCAACACTTCACATTTATCCAAATTAAACTCCATCTGCCACTCCGCAGCCCATTGGCCCAATTGACCAAGATCCCTATGTAATCTTAGGTAACCTTCTTCACTGTCAACTGTACCTTGGTGTTACCCACAAACCTACTAACCATGCCTCCCAAATTTTCAACCAAATTATTTATATAAAAGACAAACAACAGTGGACCCAGCACCAATCCCTGTGGAACACTGCTGATCACGGGCCTCCAGCCCAAAAATAACCCTCCATCACCAGCCTCTGTCTCCTACTGTGAAGCCAATTTTGTATCCAATTGACAAGCTCTTCCTGAATTCCATGTGATCTAAACAGTCAACCATGTGGAACCTCGTCAAAGGGTTTCTTCAATTTCCTCCAAACCTACAACCATGCAAAAATTCTGTATTTGTCCTATTCTGGCTGCATGCATATTAAAATTCCTTTAACCTACCTCTGGCAGCCATGCTTTCATCTGTCTAGCCTCCAAATTCTGGAATTCCTTCTCTAAACGTCTCTGCATACTTTAAGGTGCTTTTTAAAACCTACTACTTTGACATAACTTTTGGTTCATTGTTCTGAAATTTTCTTAGTGACTTTCCCACCTGTTAACAAAGCATTAAGACTTCTAGATGGTGCAACAAGTAGAAGTTTAATATTCAAAATTGTTTCTTCATCAGTTCCCAAGATATAAAGAGAACAAGTTGGAGGAGTTTTAAAATTTGTCTTTTGATACAAATAGGACGTTTAAATTTTTTGCATACCTCTGAATCTAATGTAAATGATTCCAAATATGAATAAAGGCAGCAGCCTAAGGATCAATGATTCAATGCTTCTTTCAAAACGCTTTTATGTCAATTATTCACTGGGGCTCAAAGTTTAAACTGCAAGAAACATTATCTCCGTAATGTTAAATATAACAAATCCTGGTTAAATAAAAGCAAATATGCAAATACAGTTACATATTTGACAGCCTGTTTTGTATTTAAACTAGGGCTGACTCTGCACATGCTTCTGAAATGGTGAAAGACATTTCTTGTGATGTAAAAAACTTTTCATAATATCTTAATTCACCCTAAAGTGAAATGTAGCAAGATCTCACAAAAATAGGACCTAACATCGATTATATGAACTATTTGCTCCATTGTACTGCAATACGCCTGTTGTATTAATACTGCACCTTGAACACGTTTTGTATAATCTTACAACAGGAATCAACTCTACTAAATGCTTCTTTAACATTGCTGTCCAACTTGTATGTTTTATTCCATAAGTAATTGATCACATATGGTAAATCAATAAAGGGGGTAAAAATGAAACAGAGATAGTAGGAACTGCAGATGCTGGAGAATCCGAGACAACAAGGTGCAGAGCTGGATGAACACAGCAGGCCGAGCAGCATCATAGGAGCAGAAAAGTCTAGTTTTCAGATTAATTGGAGTTAAAGCATTGAAGAATGATGAATCCAGGGGTAAATCCTCACTTTAAACTCAGAAAAAGTGCAACTACAGCATGACAAGTTGGCTGACAGTTTTTATTTTAAACATGGTGTTAGGAATTTATAATGCAAAAGTTGGCATGAAATAGATAAATATGAAATATTTATTCTCAAAAAGATGATAGTCATGAGAAATTTGATATTTACACTACAAGTTGAAAGTTTAAGCGAGATTTGGAAGGAATGGTCTAGTGTCACTGAACTGAATATTGCAGCATGCATAATTAATCAATGGGAAGATGTAGGTTTGGCACTCATGCTGCTCTGCATCCAATCTTAGTCATGAACAAAACCACAGAAACAAATAAGGCTATAGACAGATCATTTAACCGATCATGGCTGATGAGAAAGTTCTGTTTATTTCCCATAATTCTATATTTAAATATTTATTCAATTTTCCTTCAAAACTAGAATGGGCTTTACCCTAAGTATGACGACACCCTATAGAAGGTTCTCGTAAGTACAAACGTTAACAACGACAAATTTTAAACTGTCACAACAATTTACATGTTAGGAGGGAAAAAGGTGCTGACTGGTTGGCAAGTCAACCCTGATTAGTGAAGATTTTATCATGACAAAGGTAATGGGGGACTATAGGCTCCCAAAATTCCGGACTAATCCAATAAAGGGACCACAATTGAACACAGTTCTTCTTTATTGTAGAGAATGCATCCATATTTGAATGTACATTGCATCCAGCAAGCGTAAATGACCTATCAAAACATTTCAAATGATTTTAAAACAATTAAATGTCAATTCAGCTTTTTTCAGGGCAAATGGAGTATTTCAAATCCATTCCATAGGATTTTACTGTATACAAAGATGTCGCTCAGTCTGTTGTGCCTTAGTCAACTGTCTGCAAGACCAGTAATGCTTTGCTCCAGACGCCATTTTTTTTTGTCGACAACCATGGAAACTCTTTAATCTCAAATACCTGTCTAACTTGCTTTCAAAAGTGTTTATGGAATGAGTTTTCACCAATTTTTCAGGTAGCTTATACCAGGGTCCCAACATCTCTTTTGAAACATTTTTCCTCATTTCCCCTTTAAATCTTTCCAATGATTTTGAATCTATAACTTCTAATTATTAGCCAACTTATTTAGGGGAATAATTTTTCTCTATCTATTCCATAAAAATCTCTTCTTATACAGAAAACTTCTTAACTTTCATAGTTCCAAGGAGAAAATCTATAACACTTTATCACAATAATTTCTCATTCCTATAATCATTTTGGTGAACACATATTGTAGGCCCACCAAGACCCTAAACATGTTTTAATATGGTGCTAGTACAAAACGAACATATTACTATTTGTACTTTCAGATAACAAAATATATTATTGCTTCTTCATGAATGTAAATGCACTGTTTTACCTTCCTACACATTTTGCGTAACCAAAACATTCAATGGAGTCTGTACTTTCTACAGGAATCATACCTCTTAATTTTGGTTTTTGCATTTGTTTTATGCATTTGTCAATCTTTGTTCAATGTATTCTCAAACTGTTTCCACAAAGCTTCAAATTTCCCTAGTCATTCATTCTAAAGAAGGTAAGAAATATGGAATTTATCAATTTCCATTCCTTTGTGCACTTTATTGTCACAATGTTGACTCCACTGACATTCTGATTAATAATGTCCAAATGTTGTCAAAACTGAAATTTCCCAGTATTTCAATTTCATAAATCGAGTAAACCATTAATAAAGTTGTTACCTTGTAAATACTGACAAAAGATCCTAGAAATGCTCCAAGCTGGAAGTTTTCTTTATTGTACAAAGCAGACAATAGCCAAGATGGCTTTGTAAACAGGTGTCTAAGTGCTGATGGAATACGAAGGCAGCACTGAATTAAGTAGCCAACACTGAACATCCGTATAAAACCCTGGAAAATAGATTTAAAAGAAAAAGTGACATTTCAGGCATCGAGTTACATTTTCTCTATCACTCTAACCCCTACTGCAAAACAGAACTTTGTAAAAAGCAAGTACAAAACGAATAATGGGTGCTTTATAAATCAAACAAAGGCTAGGATCAGGCTGCGATAATTGATTTAACTAATGCAGCCCTTATAAGTGTTCACTTCGAACAAAGCTTCAAATAGCATTGTACTGAACTGACGTTAACTTCACGAAAATAGTGCTTTTTGCTATTATCCAAGTTATTATAATAGTGTTGTGGCTGTTATTGCAAAGAAACCAATATTTGAATTTAATTAAAAAAAAACAAAGCAAAAAAAATCACCGTGAAGCAACCAGATTGACATAAGAACTGTTCTAAACATTACAATGTCTAGGATGGTTATGCTTTAAACTGTCTTTCTGTTTAAGGTAAAACGAATGCTCTCGAAAGAAGGAATAATGTTACTCGTATTAAAGACTCATGTAATTTGGTTACCATGATGACAATGGACCTACTTCAAGCCTGACTGAAAGTCTGTTTGTGTTTTAAAATCAAAACATGAATGAAAAGATAGCAATTCTGGCTGCTTGCAGACTAAAGGGCTGTCAGAATCAGTCATAAACAACATTTTGAGGAAACTGATGCAGCTACATGATGCTGAAGAAAAAGCTTGTTTTTTGGGGAATAACCAAGTGAAGCACATTTGAGGAAATCACCATTGTGAAGAGTTAGAGATCACAGAACCGCCAGAGGAAACCATGCAAAGTCTATTCAAATATATTCAAAGCACTGAGTGATGTGAACTCTGATTATGAGAAAGCTGGAAGATTCACTTTATGAGAAAGGGGAAAAAGGACCCTGTTAGAGCTGAAAGGAATTTTGGACTTTAATTCAAGACTACAGGCTAGATCTTACATGCCTCTGCCAATTGACTTTTCAGTAGGGGGCAGGAAGGCACATATAATCGGTAAATAGGTCAGGTGAGTAGCCCACAATTTCCATCCACGTCCAAGCTCACCCAATAAACTGTCATGTTGTTGTCAGGGTACAAAACTGGCAGGCAGTCCCTTTGCTAAATAAATAAATAAACAAAGGCTAATTGAGATTGTTTAGTAAGCTTATTTTCCTGAATTATATGCTGCATGTGCTAAGATATGGCCAGCATGGACAAAGTGGTCAGGTCATATTTTTTATATGGACCACATAAAAGAACCAGGAAGTTTGGTCATTTGGGCAACATCCTGCCAAGGTGTCACCCCCAAAATTTTCTTCACCACCCTCAGGGTAGCATTGATCCTGTTTATGCTTCTTCCTGCAGCTAAGTAGCGTACCGATCACCTCATATTCCAGGTTGGCTGGCAGTTCCTCAGGGCAGGATCTCCTGCTACTGAGGGCCAGAAGTGCCACGGTTTAATTAAACCAGCCTGCTGTCATTGCCACAGGACAGGTTTCCTTGTAATATGTCAACTTTCAGCTGATTTTCCTCCTGGGAGGTAAAGTTGGGGTAGGGCAGGTGAGAAGTTCCCATCTACTGTAAAACACAGTTCTACAGGTCTACTGTGTGTAATACGATGTGTAAACACAATGTGGAGCTTTCAGAGATGACAAAGTGTGGAGCTGGAGGACCACAGCAGACCAGACAGCATCAGAGGAGCAAGAAAGTTGATGTTTCGGGGTGGGACCCTCTGATGCTGCCTGGCTTGCTGCGTACCTCCAGCTCCACACTTTGTTATCTCTGACTCCAACATCTGCTGTTCTTGCTATCTCCATGTGGAGTTTTCAGTTGAGTTAAGAAGTTAAGGAATGGATAAAATTTCTGTGATTTAATGCCTTCTTTCCTGTTTCCAAAATATTTATTGCCTATCAAGTAACATTTAGTCATATTGATTTTTACTTTGTTAGAAGAAAGATCTTAAAGTGTGAAATATTTCATATGGTTCTTTGCATAGGTCAAAGGGAAATTCATCTCAAGTTATCCTTCTCTCCAGGGAATCACAACAAATCCCAACTAGTTCATGTAAGCCTGGAGGGAAGGAAACTTGCTTGGTCTTTATATGTGACTCTAATCCACCACCAATATAGTTGACCCTTCTAATACGCAAATCAAGCCACTACACCCCCACAAGACACACAATTCTTCTTCCATACATTTGTTTACATAAATATACCAGAAGAAAGAAAAATGTATAAATGCTAGCAATGCAAAATAAACACAGAATGTCACTGAAAATCTATTTAAAGAGAAAAAAAGATATGATACTTTGGATATAAAGCTATTCTGACACAGGATAAATATCCAGAGCTTTGTAGTCTGTGACGGAAACAATGGGAATTTCAAGCATCTGTTGTTTTTAATCTGATTATATTGACTGACTATATCGACCTCTAATGCTATATGAGGCAGCAGTTAACTAAAAGCAGTGTCATTAGGAAATAGCTGCTTGGCTTTTGAAATGTTAATGAGCAGTATTGTTGGACAGCGGAACACTGATCAGCTGATCTGTAAAGTATGCCAATGCTCTTGTGGGATGCTCAGCCCCTCATCTTGTTCAGAATGTATACCTGTATTGGTTTACGACTGGAGTTAACGATCTGACTTTATGCAATGGTCTATATTAATACTTTAAAAAGTTTCTTAACGAGCTACTGGCCCTAACAAGCCATCCTTCTGAAATAACAACACTTGGATTATTTGATCCCAGAACCTCAGAAGGTTGGAAGAGTCCTTCTATATTCTGACAGAAGGTTATTGACTTGAAATATCAACTACGAACATACGAATAAGGAGGAGTAAGTCAATCAGCCCCTTTCCAGGCTTCTCTCCATTTAAAAGATCATAACTGATCTGATTACAACTTCAAATCCGCATTCTTGTCTACACTTAGTAATTCCCTTGCTTAACAAGGCTCTATCCATCTCTACCTTAAAAATATCCAAGGACTCTGCTTCCACTACTTTTTCAGGAACAGTGTGTTCCAAAGATTTGTGAACCTCTGAAAGGAAAAGAAAATCTCATCTCTAACTTAAATAGGAATCCCCGACTTTTAAACAGTAGACCCCAGTTCTAGATTCTCCAGAAGAGGAAACATATTCTCCTCACTGAAATTGCATAGCAGTGCATGTGGGCAATTTTGGAGGCTAGTTCATACTTTACATGCTTTAGAATTCCTGCTTCAGCCATGAAATAATGCATTCTTAAGGATGAACATAATGTTGCATAATGAAAATATATTGTGTTGTGAAAATTCAGCAGTCTGACAACACCTATGAAGGAAGAAACAGACTGAGTGCAACAAAATACCTTGCAAGTAGTACTTGCAATATAGTGGCATTCAACTAATTAAGAAAGCAAAAGTGTTCACAAAGAAAACAAACAACTATTCAGGAGGGATACAAGTACGAATAGTGCAAAGTGAATTTCTTTCTTCAACTGGAATAGGTGGGGAAAATTATGAGGAAGAACCCACAATAGTCATTCAAAATATCTCATGGCAAACAACTCAGACCAGGGCTGGTTGGGGCTGCTGGCCTGTTGCCTTGATTTGGTTTGGTAAAACAAAAATACAGATAAGAGAAACAGAAGGAAAATAACTTAGGAAATAGGAAATCATATGCGCAATGTCCTCCACCAGGCATAACGGAAACATACAAAATACGTCAAAGCAGAACCTGATGTATGACGATGCTCAGGCATCAATGGAGTTAGCGAATGAACTGGTTTACTGTATGAAAGCCATGTTGATGTGATGTCACTGTTTAAAAAAACATGCAAATGCATGATGGCTGGAGCTCTGAAAAGTTTTATTTTCTGCAGATTAGCATTTCCAGCATCTACAGGCTTTTGTTTTTGTATGTAAGAACTTCAAATGCTTAAAAAGAAGCTAATGATTACAATATTATAAAAACAATATCATAATTTTAGTTCAAAGATAGTCAGAAATTAAAAACACCATAAAATATGGAGAACAGGGACCAAGTTAAAAATGGCTTTCATTCAAAATAGCTGAAAAAACATCAATTACCTCTCAAAGAAAAAAGAAGCATTGTACAGAAAGTTAAGGAACTAAAATAACTTATAGCTAAAACTTGGATGACAGCCCAGATTTCAACATGTTACAAGCCACACCAAATCACTTAGCCAGGATTTTTAACTTGCAAACAGAATAATTTTGTTTAGTTGAAACAACAGCTACCGACATTATGAGCTAACAAGGTGCAAAGCTGGATGAACACAGCAGACCAAGCAGCATCAGAGGAGCAGGAAGGCTGACGTTTCAGGCCTAGATCCTTCTTCAGAAATGGGGGAGGGGAAGGGGGTTCTGAAATAAATAGGGAGAGAGGGGAGGCGGATAGAAGATGGATAGAGGAGAAGATAGGTGGAGAGGAGACAGACAGGTCAAAGAGGCGGGGATGGAGCCAGTAGAGGAGAGTGTAGGTGGGGTGGTAGGGAGGGGATAGGTCAGTCCAGGGCGGACGGACAGGTCAAGGAGGCGGGATGAGGTCAGTAGGTAGGAGATGGGGGTGGGGCTTGGGGTGGGAGGAGGGGATAGGTGGGAGGAAGGACAGGTTAGGGAGGCGGGGACGAGCTGGACTGGTTTTGGGATGCGGTAGGGGGAGGGGAGATTTTGAAGCTTGTGAAGTCCACATTATGAGCTACATTGTTAATTGCAAAATGGTCATGCTCTGTCACTTATGCTAATCAAGTGTTGCTAGTTTTAATTAAAAAAATACTCACTTTAATGCAGTAGGAGATACAGTTGTCCTCATAATGTTTACAACATCTGTGCCTTGGGCCATGCTTGCAGCTGAATTAAAATAAAACTTTTAAACATCCAATCCCATCAATTACAGTATATTTTAAATAGAAATCCAAATATTTATAATGCAGGAGTTATATTTTTGTTCTGAGTGATATTAGCTATCATATTACATATACATGTTGCACAACTTTTAAGACACAGTTTTGCTAATTGATGAAACACAGTGAAAGGGTCAATATATATTCTACCCTCTACATCAGACTTCCATTGTGCTCATTGTACATGGTTGGTTATTAAATACATGACAATTTAATGTACCTCATAAAACTAAATGAACGAGCAGCACTATACCTGCTGAATTTCAACTGACAACACTAATAAATTAAATGGCGTGCTAGCCTTAAATCAGGGCAGGAAAATACTAAGTCATACATCATATTACAAGCAGCACTCTCAGATTCTGTGATTAAAGGTCAACTAAAGAAAACTAAAGCTTCACAATGTGCGATTATTTCATGTTTCCAGTTCATTATTAAAGCCAGAATTTCTCTGGACAGCTGTACCAACAGTTTGTGTAAGTGTTTCACTGGAAGGTATCCTTTGGTATGCTCCAGTCCCATTCCTGACTTCAGTTCATCTTTCCTAACATGGAAATAATGTGAAGTAGACAGTTATGCTATGTAGTAAGCCATCATCTTCAGAGGTTATACTGGGAATATATTGCCAGGCTGGGCAGAATTTTGAAGATGAAGACATGGAGTTTTAACTCAATTCACTGGTGAATAGGAGTCAGTGAAAGTCAAAGCTACAGATGACTGTTTTAGATAAATAAGGTCAAGCTGGAGTGATTAGAGGGTAAAAGATAGAAATCCAGAAAGAAGAATGTTCCAGAGTCCTTAAAGTATGGCAAAAATTCTGATGGTGATAGGATAAGCAGAGCAAATGTACTCTGCAATATAATTATGGTCTAAAATAGTCAGATTAAGAAAATGAATGTGGCATCCGTTCCAAGCTTCTGCTGATGCTTTTATATAACTGATTCAAGGAGATCTGAGAAAGCAGTTTAGGGTGCAAAATCTCAGGTTTGGTACATTTTGATTTGAAGCCACCATTCACATTCCCCTCTGATGGAACACCAGACAAAAAAGTAATGGAAATTGAATACTTAACCGGATATGAATTGGTGTCCATTTGTGCAGTTACAGTTAATTATTAGTAGTTACTAACCTTGATCATATGTCTGCTCGAGCCATTATGATACATATAATGGCACACATATTTCAGATCAGGGTTGGAAACCTGCTAAATTTTCCCAAAAATTGGTTTTAAACTCTGAAATTTCATGGAGGGTTTCGCTCCACAAGCAAGTTCTCTCATACAATTCCCCACTGCTTACCATATTGAATATACACCTCAGCCCTATGGAACCATGCTTGCACTATCGTGAGCTCACCAGTGGCAGAAGTATTCCCAGCTGCAGGATTATTTCAGGATTTCTGCCACTAGCGCCATGTTTAAAGCCCCACAATGCATCAGCTCAAAGGTTGCCAGCCGTTTACAGCATATGTAGTGGGATAGAAACCAATTAGCAAAGCTTCTGAAGGCAGACAAACTTAAAAATATATTGACACTTGAAACCATTACCTGTCTGATCAACTATCAATGTAGCTGCAGCTAAAGGTACAATGCTACAGAGGCTATCCATCCTTAACGCAACTCTCCCTAATGTTCATTGTAGTGTTACACCTTGTCATTGTTCAATGTGGGAGCAGCACATGTTGTCAAGAGCACGAGTGAGAGGGAAAAAGAGAGCACGAGCGAGAGGGAAAAAGAGAGCGCAAGCGAGAGGGAAAAGGAGTGAGAGACAGAGTGTGAGTGTGTACATACATACAATGGGCATTTAATTGTACTGGGAAAAGCATACACCATGTTGTAGACAACATGACCCTTCACATTCATATGTGAAAGCTTTAACATTTGTGAACTACTCGAAGAAATGACTGGGCACATCACGTAGCTTGAATAAATGTCAACCAACTGAATAAAACACAAAGCTATGAACAAAAATAATTTTATAATGCTATTTGTGCACTGTCGCTCTCTCTCTCTCCTACACACACTGGCTGACAGGGCTTTGATACCACTACGATCACATCTTCACCCCATCAAATCAGCATTCTGAAGAGACATCCTGATCCACTTGTCAATACTGTTCTACACCATTTGATTGACCTTGGTGTATCCTTTTGATAAAGTCAGTGAACTGAAGGATTCATTACATGCAAGGTAGATATCCAACCTTCGCTCTTATGCGTTACAGTATTTTGAGTTTGCACATTTTGACGTAAATATCAGACAAAATTCAGATTAGTGCCAGGTAGATTGTGACTGCTGAAAATGTTGTTGTATATTTTTTTTTGGTAACTTCAACACCCCACCCTTTTATTTCATATTTATCCCTCCCTTTCCTTTTCCAACTAGCCTGTGCGTGCAGGGAGGGTGGGCACACACGACCTGTGCTAAGATTTCCCGCAGGGACATCCCATACCACAGAGTCAACTGGCAGGAAAAATTACTTTTATTTTATTTTCTTTCTTTTACCATTCCACCCCACCCACCACCCCCCTCCTTTCTGCATAATATAGCTTCTGATAAATGGCTGCCTGAATCTGACAATTCTCCTATTTATTTAGGACTTGAATATTTTAGTTGTGTTGCATTGGAGCAACATTTCTGCTCTGCTAATGAAGAAATGGTATTTGCTCTTCCTGTCTCAGGTCAAATTAATCATCCTGTGGCCAACTCATTTCCTTAACCTCTAGTTAAAACAACTTTAGAAAAGGAAATCTTGGGACCCAACAGATTTGATGGCTTTCCTCTTATGCCTGAACATAGGGTTTAATTCGCACTCAAGTGAGTATGAGTGAGAGTCACAACACAAATCAGCAAGGGGTGATATACCAATCCTGCAATGATTAAGTTTTGTTTTGAAGTTGAGTTTCAGGCACATTCTTTGAATTAAGCAGTGACCAGTGTTTTACTCTGCAACTAACCCACATTAATCTTGTACTGACAATGGATGTCCAAAATAAAGATATGCTCTTTCCTTTCTGACCATCACCCTTCATCTCTATGAACGCTGATGCCATCACAAATTGAAAATAAAAATGTACTCTGCATCATTATTGCTTTAATAATAAACTACCTCTGTTCCATGATACATATTTTGAATTTATCTAAATGTAACTTTTATCCAGAAAAATATCTTTTGAAGCTCGACAGAAACAAGTGACAGAATAAGCCATTCAGCCCTCGAGCCTTCTCTACTATTCTACATGATGACATTTTCCTGCACTATCCCCATATCCCTCAATGTCATTGGTATCTAGAATTCTACTGATACTTGTCATGAACATACTGAATGACGGAGCTTTCACAGCTCTCCGGGTAGAGAATTCCAAAGAATTTCACCATCTGATTGAAACAATTCCTCTTCATTTCAGTCATAAATGGTTTTTCCATTATTTTGAGAATAAGCCTCTCATGATTTTATAACTCTCTATAAGGTCAGCCTCCGACAGTTCAAGGAAGAAAGTCCCAGCCTATCTAGTCACTCCTTAACTCAAACCCTCCAGTCTCAGTAACATCCTTGTAAATCTTTATTGCACTCTTTCCAGTTTAATAACATCCTTCCTATTGCAGGACAACCTGAATTGTCTGTAGTACTCCAAATGTGGCCTTATGTGGTCTTGTCCAGTTCTAATAGGACATCCCAACTCTTATATTCAATGCTCTGACCGATGAAGGCAAGCATGACAAATGCCTTCCTCATCATCCTGTCTATCTATGATGCCACTTTCAAGGAACTATGCACCTGCACCCCCAGATCTCTCTGTTCAACAACATTCCCCAAGGTCCTACCACTAACTGTGTAAGGCCTGCCCTGGTCTGTCTTACCAAAATGCAACAAATCACATTTACCTGAATCAAATTCCATCTGCTATCCCTCGGCCTTTGGCCCAGTTGATCAGGATCTCATAGATAACCTTCTTCACTCTCCACCAAACCACCAATTTTGGTGTCATCCGCAAACTTACTAACCATGCCTCCTATATTCTCATTGAAATAATTTACATAAGTGACAAACAACAGTCGGACCTAACTGATCCTTGCGCCACACTGCTGGTCACAAGCCTCCAGGCTGAACAACAACCCTGTACCACTACTCTCACTCATACTGTCAAACCAATCTTGCATCCAATAGGTTAGCTTTCCCTCTCCCTGGATCCCACTGATCTTTTGTTACTAACCAGTCTACCATGCGGAACCTTGTCAAAGGCCAAATGAAGTTCATGTAGGCAACATCTACCACTCTGCCTTCATTGAATTTTTTGAAGGGGTGACCAAGAAGATCAACTTGAGACATGACTTCCCACACACAAACCCATATTGACAATCTCTAATCAGTCCTTGCCTTTCCAAATTCATATAGATCCTGTTTCTCAGAATCCCCTCTAACTGCATACCCACCGCTGATGTTAGGCTCACCAATCTGTGGTTCCCTGGCTTTTCCTTGTAGCCTTTCTTAAATAATGGCACAACATTAGCCACTGTCCAGTCCTCCAGCACCTCACCCATCACCATCAGTGATACAAACATTTCCGCTAGGGGCCCCAAAATTTCTTCCCTAGTTTCCCACAGTGTCCCGGGAAACACTTGATCAGGTCCTGGGAAGTTATCTATCTTTACAGATTTTAAAACCTCCAGCACCTCCTCTTCTGAAATGTGGACTCTTCAAGACATTACTATTTATTTCCCCGAGTTGCCTAGCTCCCGTGTCTTTCTCCATAGTGAATGCTGTCGAGAAATATTCACTTAGGATCTCACCAATGCCTGTGGTTCCACAAATAGATGACCTTATTGTTCTTTAAAGGGGCTCTATTCTCTCCCGAGTTACTCTTTTGCCCTTAAGCTACTTGTAGAATCTCTTTGGCTTCTCCTTTACTTTATCTGCCAAAGCTATCTCATGTCCCCTTTTTGCCCTC